TAGCCTTTGACTTCGCCTTAAGGTTAGGCTTAGGCATAGGCTCAGGCTTAGGCTGAGGCTTAAACACAGGATTATGCTTGGGCTTCAGCTTAGGCTTGGGCTTAGGCTTAGGATTACGCCTTGGTTTAGGCTTAGGCTAAGAATTTAGCCTATGCCTACCCTAGAAAAACCTGATGTCATAGTGAACCCCTAGTCCGAACTCGGCACCCTTGTTGTTAATGGTCTTTACGTAGGCGGCGGGAGCCCAAAAAGGGGCCTCCTTTCATGTTTGTCACCGGCGCATTGTGGCCCAGTGGGGCTCCTCGTGTGGCCCAGGAAAGTTCCACTTCCCCAATGCGGAGGCTCAGGTTTTAGGGCGACGACACGGCGGGTTGGCGCGTCATCACGAGCCGCCAGTATATAGAATAGAAGCGTTCACCGTTTCGGGCACAAGCGTTAAATAGCTCATCTCATCAATATAAAGATCCAACTAAAAAAGAGCGGCGAATTAAAAATAAATGTAATTCAATATATATTTAAATATTATTATAAATCTAGCTAAAATATCTAAATATCTAGTTAAAAGTAAGTCGTGATTTTAGGAGATACTGTGATTTAGCCACCTGCCCTGGCACTCATCCGATATAGCGTAAACTTCTGAAAATTGCTCGTGATTTCTGAGGTTGTTCATTTCTGGGACGCGCTTAAAAATGTAAATTGCGCGATGCGCCATAAAAGGAATTTGTTCAGAACTTTAAAGCTCTATCAAATACGCGATGTCGTATCGCAAAACAGCCAGCAGAAACAAGTCATTTCGATCCATTGTCACGTAGCGAACGACTTACCGGTGTTCCCAAAAAACTTACTGCTTCCGGCGGCTTTTTGTGGGCTTTTAGAGCCAGCCCTATGATGGGGAGATGGAATGATGTGATGTTTCTACTTCTGCTGCTCACCTCTAAGCTTTCACCCGCGCTCCTTGCTGCCCCCGCGAGCACCCGTGTGTCCGCCCGGCTCTCATCTGGCGGGAATTATTTTCCCCGGCCCCCTTCCCTCCCTCCAGCTTTTTTTTCAGGCCCACAAGCCTAGGGCCCATAGAAGGGCCCCCACACATCTCGTTTTCTCACGCTCCTCCTGCTGTTCCGCGTTGCCTCCGCGCGGCCCCATCGCACTCCATTTTTCTCGGCGAATTTATTCTTTTTTTTCTGCACACACACCGCCTTCTGCCCTGGGCCCCCATCAGCGATTTGGGTGGCCGCTCTGGGAGGCCAAAATGTGCCACGCGTGATGATTGCTTTTGTTTCCGGTTCTTCATTTTCGACTCCCGGCCCCCGCAATCATCGGTGCCGTTCCGGAGCGCTTCCGAGCTACAGTAGTCGTGCGGGGGAGTTTTGTTTTCTTGCGTGGATCGTCGAAAACCTTGATCTCTTCACAAACGCAGGGGTTCTCTCTCTCTCTCTCACTCTATCTCTCTGTCTCTCTTCTGAGAGTTGCTCTCGGAATTCCGTTTCAACATCTTATTCCGATAAATGCAATACGAATTCCGCTCACCTCGGGATAATTACGGGGTGCCAACCGTAGACAAACTGTGGTCACCCTGGGGACAAGTGGACGCACGGCAGACAAGCGTGTTCTCAACGAGTGTCTACCCTACTGACAAGAACGGAAAACAGGACGACGATGCCTCCGAACCGGGCCCCCAAGCCTTGGCCCTAAGCCCGGGGCCCATAAGCCACCCACAGACACACGCATCCCATATTCGGGCACTCGTCCCAAAACCACTCCTCACATCACATCCCAGGCAGACTGATGCGGCACACGTCTTTCGGCGCAGTCTGACGGACAAATGCACTTCTCCCCCTTGGCGCCCCCAAAAAGCGTTGGGTAGCATTTTTTGCGGGAGGTTCTTCTCCACGCCTTTGCACCCCCGGATTTATGGTCATCACCCTTCGGCCCTCTGTTTAAGCTGCCCCATTATTATGCGGATAGACTGGGATTCGGAGTTTTTTTTTGAGAAGTTTTCTGGAAGCCCAATTTTTTTCCTATTTCCTGACTTTTTGGTCTTTTTTGGAAGTTCCTTTTAAGTTTGATTAAGCTGGTTTGGTACATTGAGCGTGCTTTTTGCGGGGCTTAGGTTAGGCTTAGGCTTCGCGCTAAGCGTTGTGAACAAAACTTTTGGGTCGAGTGGCTTGATACTCACCCGATCATGCACACAAAAACAAATTTGTGTGTCAACCCGCGAAAGAATTTTAGACCTTTTTCAGCCGGTTCACCTTCCCGGTTCAACGACTGTTGCATTTGCGTGTGGGTGGCGCCGTGAAAGCGTTGCGTCTGCTTGCTGCAGTGTTTGCCGTCTACCGGCCGCTGGTTTCAAAGATTCCCTTCCATCCACCCGGCTGTCCGTCTTTTCCATCCCATTTGGCGGCTTCTCCCTCTGAGGCCACGACCACGAGGACCCAGTTTTTTCTCACGGCCGATCATCAGCGGTCTTTGCATTGGCCATCCTTTCGCATTGGACGTTTCGCTCATCACTTTGGGCCCTGCTGCCGCGTTGTGTACCCAATACTGTAGCCAAAGGGTTGTGATTTTTGCCCGTTCCGTTTTGACTTCGTGATCGGCTTTCTTTTATTAAAGGAGATTCAGTGTATCAACTTTCCTTAACGGAACATATGGCGCGCTTTTCGACGGTTGGACCTCGTTCAGATTAGGCCACTTATTTGTGTTTTATATGCTGGTCAAAAACACTCTACTGTTAGACGTAGTGGTCATAAGCTTAGGCTTAGGATTGGGCTTAGGCTTTGGCTTCGGCTTAGGCTTAGAATTAGGCTTGGGCTTAGGGTTAGGCTTAGGGATTAAGTTTAGGCTTGCCGCTCAAGGTAAAATGGAAATTATTCTGCGTCATAATTTCTCAAATTTTTCTATAATTGATGATAATGCTTACAATTAGGCCACCCGGAAAAATCGCCATATGATTCTAGTCGCTTTCTCAAGCGTATCAACCAAATTGGCGTTCCAACCCACCAAAAATCCGACCTGGATTTTTCCACGAGGTGTTACTCAATGCGCCACGAACCAAATTAGCAAGTGCATTATTCCAATGGCTTGGCGCCCATTTCCAGGCACAGATCTTTGGCCCGTACCCCTGTCGCCCCCATTCAGAAGGCCATTTTCCATAAAAAAGCCCAGCCTTAGAGCCTTAGAGACCCTTCTTGAGGCTGAAGCCATCGAGAAGTCGACAGCGGCCCCTTCCTGGGTCCCCCATCGGGGTCGAGGGCGGGTGTGGAGGTGTGCGTTGGGCCATTCGGAAGGGCCCCTCAACCCCGCACCACCGGCAGAGACCCCACTATTTTGGCTGTGGGCCCGAATTTTCGGGCTCCGCACGACACGGCTAACCTTACTCCTGGCCCCCCGGATCCCTATTTCCAAAAGCTGCCTGCCCGCTTTGGCCACATTCCGCTGCTCTCCTCCCAAATCCGTCTATTACTCGGTGCCGAGTGTCGTGCGTCTCGTCTCTGCCATTCGAGCCTAATCAATTTCGGGCGCATCTAACCAGCCCCGGGGGGCAAAACTCGACCAACATCCGGACAGCGATGAGCAGCACCCAAAAACTGCCGCCGGATTACAACACATTTGGGTAGGCAAAAAGGGTTGGGGGAAGTGTGACTTTGGAATGCACGCATACGCCACCTCCTGAGCCCGAATTCGAAGTATACGCTAAATTTAAGTGGCCTGTACTATGCCTAGCCCAGTACCATGCCTAAGCTTAAGCTCACGTCAAAAATTAAGCTTAAGCTCATGACAAGTCTAAGCCCAAACCTGTCCTAAGCCTAAGCCAATGCCTCAACCAAGCCTGAGCCCAAGCCTAAACCTAACTGTTGAAGCGACAATCCTCTAAATAACTTGCAAAGATAAAATCCTGTCCCACCCTCAAAATTCTGAACGGCTTGCCCCTAATGCCAAAAATAGTGCCGAGCGAGGGTGGAATCTGTGATGAGGTGGCGCAGGCGATGCTGCGATTGGCATACTATAGAAATTATGCCGGCGAGACGTCGCCGGTTGGATGAACATAATCTAATTATAGACAGCTAGTTTCGATTGAGATTATCGTTTAAGGGCTATGCTCTCAAGTCCCGGTTCGTCTTATCAAGTCTATCGATTTGTTAAAGCCCTACCCAGCCAAACTCTCAATAGCGCCATTCCCTATCCCTTTAACGGAAGTGCCCTTCAAGATTGGGGGCCCCCAGGTGGTTGCGGGGGTTTGGGAAAAGAAGCAGAAGAACAAGAAAAGGGGTGCCTCCAACGAGGAAGTGAGCATTAGGTAGCGGAGGGAGGTTCGCGGAGAGACTTAAGGTTGCCTCTTAAATATTTTAACGTGGTCTTCGCTTGTTCCTACACCCCAAAAGCGTCGCACTCTTTGCCTAGGCTCCAAATTTCTCAACTAATTTAATTTCTGGTTTTAAAAGTGTGTCGCCGATTTTTACAAGCGCTTTGTATCCTGCTTAAGACGAAGAAAGTCTTGCCTAGCACTAAGCCCAAGCCTAAACACACATAAGCTGCAAATAATCACACACATAAAACTGAAATTTCCTCAAAAACGGTAGACTTCGAAAATCGCTCCGAAAAATAACACTGATTTCGATGAACCAAGCCTTAGCCACGATTCTGTTTTGACCGAATATTACGCAAAAATGGCCCAGTAAAAAGGGCCCATCTCCTCTCCTCGTTCAATCCTCTGGACATTTCCGCATGCTTTACGAGAGCGGGTGGACATGGAGATCTTTGCAAAGAACGCCCAGATGTGCACTGCTACTGACTGCCGGGGGCTTTCCGTCCAACTGAAAATGCCACTCAATAGCCATAATTTTGTCTGGACCAATTTCATTGGCTATACCGCGCAAAGAAAAGCAAATTTACGTTAGAAACTCGCGAATTTTACTTGGACTTTCCTGAAGCTTAAATGAGTGCTTCCGTTTTCAGTACATTACGCTTCACACATTTTTTTTAGAAAGTATCGATTTAGGCCGATGAATCGTGAGTTCCTGGAGGTACCTGGGAAACGTCCGACCTTCGACACAGCCTCAACATCTGATGAGGAAATACATTTGAGTGCCCGGCAACATCCTCCCGGCACTTCGACACCTCCAGAAAATGACGTAGAGGTAGATGGGAGTATATTCTATGTAGCTTACTCTGATGCCAAAAATTCGGAAGATATCCTACTATATATAAAAAAATAGTGTTTGTGTGTGTGTGTGTGTGTGTGTGTGTGTGTGTGTGTGTTTGTGTGTGTGCATTTGCATGCAACTTCCGTCCGTATGTTCCAGTCGTATCTCAATAAAGGAAGAAGTTAAGGGCATGTATGATACGTCATCAGGTGCGTAATGGTCATGACACGACTGCACACCTATCAGCTTTTTCAAAATCAGCTGTTTTCGACATTAAAAATAGGTTTTTGTCAAAATCTCGCTCGGCCTCTTTGTTAGGAATCAATTTGCATGCGCCGGAAGTGGGGATAGCCTATAAAATGGGGGAGAGAACGTGCTTTTCGTTTTTTGCACAGGTATTCAGGAGTTTATGCAAAGTGGTCAAGCATGGGGGCATGACGGAGCCAGGTTTTTGCCTATATCGCGATCTCGGTGTCTCTCTCTCTCTCTCTCTCTCCCCCTCTCTCTCAATTGCAAGCACTTCCGGGAAAAATCATCCGAAAAAGCTTCTCCCCATCGCTATGAATACTCGATGGGTTTTGCAATGACGAATGGGGATTGAGAGACATTTTATTGTCACAACCAAAAGAGACTTGTGATAATTAGCAGCAGGCAACAATATCTATTATCGAAAAACTTTGTAGGGTCACGAAGGTGCCAGCTTCCCGATCGAGGAACCGGATGACAACCGAGAAGAATGGGACAACAAGGCGCAATTCTACATGGGCGTTATCTCGTATGCCGTTGGGCTGGGCAACGTCTGGCGGTTTCCATACCTTTGTCAGAAGAATGGAGGAGGTAGGTAGACAATATGTTGGAAAGTAGAAACTCGGGATCCGTAAAAAAAAATCCATGGCGTGATTGGACCAACCCGACCAGCTAAAACCAAAATTTAGGTGCGTTTTTGATCCCGTACGTTATAATGATGGCGCTGGGCGGATTACCGTTGTTCCTCATCGAGTTGGGCATTGGGCAACGACTTCGAACTGGTCCAATCGGCGTCTGGAATGCGATACATCCATATTTGGGAGGTCTGTGCTGTGCTTGTATTTCTTTCGAAACCTCTTTTCTACAAAAACCCTTACGACCGTAATTTTTAAGGTGTTGGTGTGTCGGCAGCAATCGTCTCATATTTGGTGGCGTTGTACTACAACGTGATCATCACCTGGTGTCTTTACTATCTCGGCCAGTCCTTTCGGCTCGAGCTACCCTGGGCGGTAGGTCCGCAGTGATTTGAATATTGGAACATCGGAACTAATTCCTTGCCCCACCTCGAAGTAAATTTTATGAGGATTTCACGAACACTTGATTGCAAGTGTTCAGATTCAGCAGATTGAAAAAGTTCATAAAATTGCAACGTGAAAGTGGATTGCTTCGCTCAGCAAACCTCGTTACCTCCATCCAACGGGGATTTTTTTCGACCACTTTTTGGGCCAAGAACTCCCCCATCCGCACGAAGCATTTCATTTGGATGTGCCGGGGACCGGAGGCCCCACCTCGTTCTCCTATAAAAAAAGAGCCGAGTAACGGCGGAGCATTGGAGGACTTGGTCCAAGAAAGCGGGCTTGAATTCGGCGTCCACAACGGTGTATGCACTTAAAGAGCTATAACAAACACTCATGCTTTGGAAGAATACCCCCAATACCTACACGATGATAGGATGACTCTGCATAGATATCACAAGTCACTTTAGAAATGCCCGACATCAGCTAACGGCACGATGGATCGTGAGTGCGAAATGTCCTCCTCGCCCACGATGTACTTTTGGAATCGGGACGCCCTGGACACATCGGAATCAATCGGAAATCTGGAAGGCTTCAACCCCCGGATCACCATCTCGTTGATCTGCGCCTGGACCCTCATCTACTTGTGTGTGATGAAGGGGATCAAGAGCTCGGGAAAGGTGAGCTATAGTTTCATAGCATTAATGTGTTAATGGCCTTAATGATTGTATTCTAACCTTTCCAGGTGATGTACGCGACAGCGACGTTCCCGTATGTTGTGACGACGATATTTCTGATTCGCTCGATAACGCTGGAAGGAGCGTGGGAGGGGCTTGGATATATGATTCATCCAGATGTGGGCAAATTCATCCTAGAAAATTCAATAGACCTCGAATTCGGCGCGTCTTTGTGTCGTTACTCCTATTATGACGCACAAAAAAAGTAAAACCTGAAGTATTTTCAGCTCCACATGCTGTATAATCCAAATGTCTGGCTTGAAGCGGCAACCCAAATATTCTACTCAATGGGACTCGGATTTGGAGGTTTGCCAAAAATAACAACCCCTTAAAGACATTCAGGCTTGATCGCGTTCGGCTCGTACAACCCGCTGAAGAACAACTGCAAGCGGGACGCGTTCTGGCTGGCCTTGTGCAACATCCTGACCTCCCTCTACACGGCCGTCGTCATCTTCTGCGTGCTCGGCTATATGGCGCACAGCAACATGCGGAATTGCGTCGAAAAGTGGGTCCCTCCAAGCTAAGCTTAAGCCCGAACCTAGGTCCTAGCGTAAGCTTGAGCGTAATCTAAGCCTTACACTAAGCTTAAAGCTAGCCTAAGACTATTCCAAATACCAAGCGACCTTCCAGGGATATGATAATAATGGCAACCACTTATCGCGATGTCTTCGCTTCTGCGGCAGACGTGGAGCGTCATTTTGGCTATGAGGGGTACATCGAGCTGATGGAGAACGAGTTCAAGGGAAATTATTCGGACATGGCCATGAATTCGCAGTTCTGCAACTACCACAAGATCATCACCGAGGTGGGTGCTTTGCGGGCTAGATAAAATATTTTAAAGAAAAAATGAAGTTTTTGTGAAAAACCAGTTAAAATCTTGTTCTAGGCAGCTGAAGGCACGGGCCTGGCATTTGTCGTCTTCACCGAGGCCATTCTGAAGTTTCCGTTCCCGCCAGTGTGGTCAATCTTGTTCTTCTTGATGTTGCTATCGTTGGGACTTGGTGAGTCTCCAGTTTCTCACTCTCACTCTTTCTATGGCTCTCTATCGCTCGCTTGCTTTCTCTCTCTCTCTCTCTCTCTCTCTCTCTCTCTCTGTCGATCTCTCACTCTCACCACTAACTCTATATGTCTCTTTCCCTCTCTATCTCTCTCGCTCTCTCTCGCTTGTTCAATTTATACCCCTTTTAGGCTCAATGTTCGGTACGTTAGAAGGCGTCATCACATCCCTCAACGATTCACGTTTGATCACCGTAAAGAAACCAATCCTAACAGCTGTTCTCTGCGGATCTGCCTGTGCCATTGGGTTGCTCTTCTCGACAAAAGCTGGCCAGGTATTGGCCTCTTGATTTTTCTATAAAACGCTCTTTTACAGTATTGGGTGGCGTTGTTTGACCACTTTGCTGGATCCTACGCCCTGATGTGCGTGGCGTTCTGTGAGGTCATCGCCGTTGTTTATGTGTATGGGTTTAGAAGGTAGGCAGCTTTAGAAAATTAATGACCCCCTTCAGATTTTCTCGTGACATCGAATACATGACGGGCTCATACCCTTCCAACTACTACCTGTACACGTGGCGCTTTATCACCCCGACCATCATGCTCGTCCTGTTTACGACGTCTATCATCCAATGCTTCTCGCGGTTGCCCACCTATTTTGCATACGACAAGGCGACGGTCAGCATAACTCTAAAGATCCTATATAGAAAATGTTTTTTAAAGCTTCCTGTTACCGATTACTTGGTGTTCTAGGCAAAACAAGTCGAAGCCGAATACCCGGTGTGGGCTCTGTTCATCGCCTTCGGGATGGTGGTGGCAGCAATTGCGCCGGTGCCCCTCGTCTGGTTTTTGCGGAAATTCAAGATTTGGAAGGCCGACGATGTTCCGGCGGTAGGTTTTGGGCTTGTGATTTACGACTGGGCTGAGATTTTTGATATAATTAAGTAGCTAGCTAGTAAGTATAAGCAAATCAATCTTTTGCAGGCCCAAAAATGCCTGGGGGCCACAGCCAGCACGACGTACATGCTGAAATCGGAACCCTCCTTCAACCGGATGACCGAGTCCTCGGTGTCGATGAACGAGATCGAGCGAACGCACCGATGATTCTTACGCATCGTCCAGCATTCTCCCGTATATACATAGTATCCCCCATCCCCAACGTGTAGCTACGAGCTTTGGCTATTACATTTTGATGCCGATACCGGTTCGTCTATGTTTTATTTGTAGGGTTGACTCGGGTGCTACTGCCGAATTTGCAGTTCGCCGTCATCTTCCGAAACTTGCTTTATATTTTTGACTCCGATAGCGTACGGCCAAATTTTGGGTTGCAAGCAGAAGTGTAGCAACATCAGAAATTATCAAACCTTCCTTGTCACGTCATGTAAAACCCAAAATACCTAATTTTACGCCGGGGTTGAGTCGAAATTTGGGAGTAACACAGCCTCCAATTATGGCCTAGCGATATGTGATTTGCCCTTACAATGAGAGTAGCTGTTCATAGTTGAACTTTTGAGTTAATCGGCGCTTCCGACAAAAAGGCGGAGGCGTTCACTTTTGGAACTAAAATTACATGCATTTCTGTACACGGAAAACTAGTATATTACGGAATTATTAATGGTGTGTTACCTTTTACAAAAACAAAATTTGGTCGTGCGCCTCGGCTGTTTTTAGGTGTTGCCCCTTCCCCTTTTTGATAGCAAAAATTTGCACGTTACCCGCAGTTCGGTCATGATTGGAATTGCGTGCCGTTTTCACGTTGCTGTTGCTCAACCCCCGATTTGAAACTTGTCACCTTCCCCGATTTCCCGGTGTTAGCTTTGAGATTAGCGGATGCTCCGGAATATGGAATTGTTTTTTCTAAATAAAATTTTATGTGAAGTAGTTCTTTAAACGCAGGTGCTCGCAATTTTGTAACTATCCTTGAAGCAATGCGCCGAAAAATCGAGCGTGTCATAGACATACCGAAGTAAGCGCAAACCCGGTCTTTTCATAAGTTTTCTCCGGGGCCCGCTGGCTCACTGCTGACTACGTGTCCGATGGTATCAGATGTCGAGATAATGAGGCGGCGGGGTGGAATATCTCTCACTTTCCTCTTTCTCATCTATGGCGCCGCCATGACGAGGAACCACATTCTGACGGTTACTTATTTAACACCAGCCCCCCCCCCATTTGGCCCACCGGGTTCAAGTACTATTGGATTCGCACGGAAATACCTCAATTTTAACGGACTAGATTTTGATCTCATTTCGGAACTATGTGATACGGGTTAAGGTGCTAGCAACCGCACGAATCTAGCAACGATCATTCGAATCATTCGGTAGACACATTCAAGGTTTTCCTGAACTCTTGATCTTTGCATTTCTGCACCTCCTGAAGGAAATGCGTTCCAAAATTTGTTCGAGACGCTCGTGGGGGTCTCGGGGTTAATGCTAACCTCAAACTTGGGTAATTAAACCGAAGCTGTGGTTCGCTCGCCGCTCTTACCATCTGCCCTGACTCCAGGTGAGCCACTTGCTGAAACAGTATGATTTTCCAAGTTTCGAAAAATCATAGCAACATTACCAGGGCCTCTCTGGCTTCGTACCAAGGTTTTTCGGCCCTATTTTTTATGCTCTTTAAGCTGCAAATTGAGTTGCGTATTGGAAAAGCCCGTTTGGCCCCGATCAGGCCTGGAAGGGTAGCGTAACCCCCATCCCCGTACAGTTGCGTACAACGTTAATACGCGCTGCGTAGCCAGATTCAAGATTTGTGTGAAGCCGTTCTCATTTGCAGTTCTGCACCTCATTAAAGGAATGCTTTCCAAAAGTTATTCGGGCGACCACTGGGCGGCGAGCTGAAACATGATTTCCCCAGATTATGGATGCGAAATCCTGTTTAATGTCACCCATACTCAGGGACGTAGCGTAATACCGGCCCCGGGGGCCCGGCCCCCCCGAAATCGGCCGGGGCCTGAAAATTTCATAAGGGGGGACCCTTATGATTTTCATTTTCTCAAAAAGTTTGCTGCCTGCGGCGCTATTTTTTCACGTTTTTACGGCTATTTGTAGAGCTATGTAACCTTTTTTTCAAAAATTTTTGCCTGCGGCGCTGTTTTCTCGTTCATCTTTTGAGGTGTTTGGAAAAATTTTTTGGGGGCACCCCCCGAAATTTTTTTCTGGCTACGCCCCTGCCCATACTGGCCGAGATGTTAAATTGTTAGTCCGAGAATTAGGAGGCTTTTTCACGGGCTAACGCGACCAGTTAACCCCAAAATATGGGCCCTCGCTCGATTTATTGCGGCAATCATTGGCTCCCCCACCCTCGGAACGCGGCGAAAAATCTAATCAAATTATCCTCATCCATCTCGTCGGTGACGCCCGCCACGAATTTCGGGAACTCATTCTAGGATTTATTGCTCGATGGCGGGCGTGTCAGGAGAACAGAGCGGGGACCCAGCCATATTTGAAAAAGCAAATTCTTTTTTCTTGCCATTTACTGTTTGGGTGACTCTACCCGACTTAACTCGCTTTATCAGATTTAGGTTTTCTGGTGCTCTCGCTATTTTCATCGAGCACAATTTCCTGTTGTGGCGGGTTTTTGTGTTCGGCCCTTTTTCTGCTTTTTGCTAGACGATTTTTGCCGCCGAGCTCGAGTTTCCCGTAAACAAACAGTCGAGGTTCCATTTGGGGCCTGTCGACGGCTTCGTAGGTTTACATCGATAATTCTATAAATTTTATGCATATCAACTGCCTCTTCATCTCGAGCGCTTCGTTAGAGTAAGTTTGTAAGTATCAGTTTGAAACGCTTGCTTAGGCGTTATGATTAAGCTTCTGCTTAGTTATATACTGAGGCTTAGGCGCGCTTTCGTAAACTCACAGAATTCATCCACTCCCCCCTTACCACCGGAAATTCTGAGAATGCGGCGGTGGAAAACCCATCGGATTTGGCGGGGGGAAGAATGCGCGCCGAGGTTGGCTTCGGCCACTGGGTTCCCATGCATTCGGGAGCACTTTCCCTAGGGGGCCTTTAGGGGCCCTTTAGGGGTCTCGACCTCAACGGATGGGGCCCATCCTCCACTTCAAAAGTTCCATAACACCTGAATGGTGGGGGCCAGCGCGCCACGAAATTTGCCAGATTGCCATCCTCGGTTTCTCTAATGAGTGGGTCAAGATGGTCCATATTTTTAACAGGCCGTCACCATTAAATTAACACAAACCCTTTTTCGCCTAATGTAGAATCTAGTTGGCCTAAGCCTAAACTTAAGTTAGCATTTAATAATGTTATAAAAGGAAAGTTATGAATATAAAAGTAAACCATTTTGAAATAAGTTAGGAAAGGAAAATTGCTCAAGAAAGAGCTAAAAATGGGAAAAGGATACTAGAAAAGCCTGTTTCGACCCTTGTCCGAGACAGGCAATTTTCGCTAGGGTCGGCTCTCCTCAGTTGCAATCCCTAGCGGAAAATAAAATAGTGTTAGTATTTTGACAAAAGTATCTTTAGGATAAGAAAACCATATCGGGAAGGTTAGAGTTTATAAACGGGGTAAATGTTTTACTATACCTTTCTGCTTGCTACGACGTAGCTTGCTGCATCGTTTACGTTAGGAATGATACCATTCTTTATTTTATGCGAATCACCTTGTTTCCAGATATTCTGAAAATTTGAAGCTATAAAGCAGTTTAGCAACAGGAAAAAATCGAGCCTTGTTGAGTTCCATTTTCTAAAGACACAAGTACCGTCCAGAACTCGACAAGATCTTGATGCTCACCTCCCCAGGAATCGACCGCAAGACCAAAAAGGGGATGTCCGCACAAAGTTGCCAACCAGCCTCCCCCATTCTACATAGGCGGTGCGAACCCAATTTGTGGTCCATTTTTCGGAGGGTTGATTGGCCGCGACGACGGGTTCATCCGAATATGCACCGAAGAAGCCAACAACATGCTTCGGACCCCCGCTCACCCCACACACAACACCTTTATCCCCTCCGGGTGAACCAAAATCGAATTCGGGGGGAGCCAGTATGGGGGGGGGGGCTTCAAAATTCCGGATGATCGGAAGCGCACCACGCTTCTGGCGCACGATGATTCGTAATTGCACACACGACGATGAAGTTTAACAAAGCCTTTTTTATTCGAAAATTTATGTGTATTGCTTTATTATATACAGGCTTCGGAACTGGTTCTCGACTTTTCGCAACGCATGCAACGCAGTTGTATGGTTTCACCACATGCGACCAGCATGAACTTTTTTATGACCATAAAGCGAAAAAGTCAAAGCGTTTTTATGGCAGTCCTCCCTCCGATCGCGCACAAATTGGGCGTTGTACGTGAACCTGGTCAAATATACCGTGACCCCATTCGTAACGACAGCTTGTTGTTTTCCAAGCGACCCAAAATCTTGAAAAAGCAAAAGCTTTGCCCCCAGGCAGGATTGAACTACCGACCTTTGGTTTACAAGACCAACGCTCTGCCACTGAGCTATAAGGGCATGTGGGAAGGGCTGCGGGGAGTGGCTGGAATCCGTTCGGAACTGTTTGCACATGTGTCCCCCGGCTCATTTCAAAGCTGCTTATAGAAACGTGAAAACTTTTGTGTTGAATCGGATATTGTAAAACTCAAGTAGTGCGAGAAAAAAACGTCTACTTGCGTGCTTTATTCCGGATGGAAAGTTTTTGGATAAACAAAAAGGAATTTTTTGACGATGGGAAGGGTTTTTACGAGGTTTTATGAACTTACAGGGTCTAGAATTTACGCTGAAGCGCAGATTCTCAAAAATTCAAAACGCCGGCACGCGGAATAGTGAAATAGACATCGAAATTCATTACGGCTGAATTCCGATACTTCGAAAATTTACCTTGTCCAAATTTGACTCCGATGGACCACTTTCATCCCATGGCAAGTGAAGAGGCCGCCCAAATTTTTTTATCTAAGCATAAACTTGAAATCAAATTGTATTGACATTCTTCGTATTGTAATCCCGATGCCAGCGATTTCGGCGTAACGGTTTACTGCCTAACGGATTCATATATGAGCAATTTCCGGCTTAATGGTAATAATCGGCAAAACCTAACTTTAGAAAAAAACGCTTTTTGAAGCCAATATTTTTCCTGTTTAGCCATTTATT